CCAAAACAGTGCATTCCCTGACAGTATGCCAGCAAGCACTTTGTATTGCTCTGAGTCAGACAATGGACAAGTGTCCTCAGTGCACATGAGAGTTCAACAGATTGGGCTCACCAATATTGCATGCTGTTCAAGTGGCATGCTGCTCAGCCAGAGTACTTCAAGGCTTGCCTTTTGCTTTAGTGTCAGCCTGTGGCACAATTGACACTTGCACTCCACAAGATGTTGAGCTGGGTGCAAAGCGTGCTGGTGGCAAACCACTGAGTGTCAAGGGCATTGCTTGCATCCTAGTACATGGAGAACTAGCACATTACAGTAATTGTTATTCTTGCATGTCATGATGAGCATCCCATGCTGCTATCATGTGGATGGGAAAGAAATTTGGGGAAAGGGTCCATAAATGTGAAATCCAGCTGGATGTCACAGGATTCAGGGGTCCTGGTGATGGAATGCAAATTTGCAACAGGGACTGGCCCTGCCCCCATCATAAATATTTGGCCTTACAGGTGAGGCTCAGGTGGGGCAAATTCCAATGACCCAAACAAGTAACCAAATCAGGAAAGTAAAGTAGTGGCTGTGATAATAGAAGCATGTGCTTCTACCAACAACTTGTTTTTCCAAATAATTGCTGTTAAAATAGACTTTTTTTTTTCAAAATAGGTGGTGAAAATCCATGATTATTTATACAAGGCATCATGCAAAATTAATTTAAATACTGTAATATAACTAATTGAAAATGAAACACAACTTGTAAGTTATTGTCGGAACATGCTTTATAAAATAACATGAATTAGAGACCAGACCCAGTAGCACCTCTTGAACTCCAACCACCACCTTCCTTCCTTGGAAGGTCCCTGGTTGCTTAGGGCAGGCCTTGGGGTCATATCGGGGATTTGCCCCCGGGCAATCATCATAGGCAAGATACCCCCGAAAGGGGTCATCCGAGGAATATTTACCTAGTCGCCTGTGCCCGGTCCTAACCGACTTAGATAATCTAAAGCGCGCTGAAACGTTTTCAGGAGGCGCAGTCCCATCTCCAGTACTTGAGTTTCTGGGAAATTTCATTCTTCGTCCAAGGCACTGAACCGGAGGCACGTTCGGCACCATCTCGATCAGGGCGAGGTGGGGTCAAGGCCTGCTCCATCGAATGTTTCTCTGGCCTGAAAACCCCGAGACATCGGGAGCTTTCGTCCAGATGAGATTCATGCCACTATTTTCGTTCGCTCCTCGAGCGTTTGGACTACCTTGCCTCAGAGCAAAACTTGCATCCTGGCGTCTGTTTCATACTCTCTACCCGCATCTCTTTTTTTTTTGCTTTTCAGCGGCTGCATATGTGCATCGAGATTACAAGACGGCTGTGGCCCAGGTCAGGTCCGATCATTGTCCTTGTCATTGGTCATGATGAGGTCAATCACCCGTTTTTCAATCCATTCAGAACCGGTCCAGGTCGGTCAAAAACGGTCCGGGTACAGCGTTCTCATATCATGTCTCCTCGAGGACAATCTCAGCTTCTCGTGCCTCAGAATCTTCCTCTCCGATCGCTGCATACGTGGGATTTGTTGACAATAGACATCTGTGATAAACTGCAGGGCTTCGAAACGAGTGGAATCAAGTCGATCTCGAGTCCGTGCATCTCTCTCACGGTACGGGTGTCAAGGTTTTCCGCTTCATTAATGTTGCTCATGTGTTTGGAAGGTTCATCAACTCCCATATGTCTCTGTGGAGCTGCTGGCCGTTGCGCACGGTATGGGTGCAATACGTTCACTACCACGACATCTCAATGTGACCAGTCATGGCCGGTTCTTCGCGGTCATCATCTCCCAGGTTGCTCTGGTCATGGCCATGCAACTTAACTGTGACCGAACCGGATGACCGAGGTCTTCATGGTCCTGTCATGACCGCGAGCCATCCTTAATTGAGATGCGCCTCAGCAAATCTCAAGGCTGATGTTGAAGATGTATTATTGCCCATGAGTGGTATTTCTGTCCTCCGCGTGGGACCGAGACCTCGTCTATCCCCCGGTAAACCTCAGACAGGGGCATACATCGTCTCTCGGGGTTCATTCATCTGCGATGATCGCCCAGGAGGCATGGTGTCCTGTAGGAAATCACTTTCTGATTGCCTTTCTGGGATCGCTTAGGCATCGCCGGCTCCTTTCTATGGCTAGGTGGGGGCTCGATGCACGCTCGCCGGATGTCTGTATAGACAACTGTTGAGTGAAGAGGCAGCTCAGAGGCATATATAAACCTGCCTGAACAGCACCAGCTCTCATCCAACAAGTCCCCTCTTGCTACCAAGGTCAGCAGCACCCAACGATCTCAACCTCGACGATCCATCATGCAGTTCCTTCGCACCCTGCTCCCCTTCATGGCCGCATCTTTCGCCGTCGCTGGTGTCCTCCCCATGGACCATGCCGGCCTCGTAGCTAAGGACCTTGCCCGGCGCCAGGGAGTCGATCCCTCGGTGATCGTTGCACTCATCGAGGGGCTCACGGCCCAGGCGAACAGTGTCGAACAGACGATCGAGACGGCTTCGGGCCTCACCACCTCCGCCCAGGTGTCGGCTCTCTCTCAGGTGACTCTCCCCCCACGCGCATACGTATGTCACTTGACCACGTTGCAAGAACATCACCTCCTCTCTCAATACGATAAGCACGGAGGTGGACGAGGCCGTCGGGGCGTCGACCGGTGTCGTCTTCAGCGACCCAGGCTGCACGGAGATCGGTGACGCATTGAACGGGGTAAAGATCTTCCTCTTCTGAGGACTGTACGCTGAACCCCGAGCAATAGTTCGCAGTCGCGCTCCACAACACGTTCCAGGCACTCATTGCCCAGGCTCCCGTATTCGTGCTCTTCAGCAGCGCCGCCCCGATCGAACAAGAGTTGGAAGTGATCCTACCTTCGATCGATGTGAGTATCTTCTTCGTGTTCGACATTACGTCGCCTCACAGCTCGCTAGACATTGGGAAACGTGGCACTCCAGGCGCTTCCCTGCCAGGCTCAAATGGTCAAGGAAGGCCAGGAACTGCTCGACAGCGACATTAGCAGCGCGATCGCCGCGCTCGCTTAGAACTGCTTTCTTGACTTGCTATGCTTGCCCGAGGAGACCGCCGACGGAGGTAATGCGGTTTGAGGCACGGGCGTATAGTATGAGAATAGCCTCCTGGTGCACTCTGCTTCCTTCATGTTCTGGTTTTGTTGAGATCGAATAAATTGAACTACAGCGCGCGTCCATCCAGACCGCTGCTGTATATGCATTTTCCATATGCTTGTATAACACCAGCTCAAGCCCAGTCGTCGGAAACCTGGTCGAGTGTGCGAGGTAGGTTTGGGGAAGCTTGACGCTGAGAGGAGAGAGAGCAGCATCGGTAACGATGAGACGCGTACGATCAGCGGGTTGTCAACTCGCTGCGAAGCCGTAGACAGTTTCTGTTGGGAGAGTGATAAGAATCTGCTTATCGAACAGATCGTGCATCGCTTCCTACCTATGGAGACGCACCCCCATCCCCAGTAATTGCCTTTCTGGGGAATCTGATTTCTCGTCCCAGAAGCTCGTTTGGAGGCATGTTCGGTCCTTCCCCATGTCCGAGATATCGGGAGCTTTCGTCCAGATGAGACTCGTGCCACTATCCTTGTTCGCTCCTCGAGGATCTAATCTGGGCTACCACGTTCCACGTATTCTTCAGATTCTGTACTTGTGTTCCTTTTTTTTATATTTTTTTTAGCTTTTCAGTGGCTGCAAACCTGCATCGAGAGTAGAGAGGGCCGTGATCCAGTCAGGACCGGTCAGGTCATGGTCACGGTCACGATCTGATCAATAACCGGTTTTTGACCGAGTCAGAACCGGTCCATGTATAGCATTGTCATATCATGTCTCACAATCTCAGCATCTCATGCCTCAGAGACTTCCTCTGTAAGAGTCCGGGACTCTCTAAAACCGGGCGCCTTGCCCACGCACAACCCGTAGGCTAGATCCATGTGTATATTGATGAGCGCTATGTGATGGTAAGGACAAGAGCTACCTACGGGTACAAAACCAGGGACTATATAGTGTGGGTCTTTAGGGCCGGCCAGATCACGCCGACCCCTTTCATCCTCCCACATCTCTGCATCAAGCTGCCTATGTCGGAACTCTCCTTACTGCGTACTTGAGCGTTGTTGACTATAGGAAGCTTTGATAAACTGCAAGGCTTTGACACGAGTGGAGCCAAGTCGGTTTCTAGTCCGCGCATCTCTCTGGCGGCACGGGTGTCAAGGTTCTCCGCTCCATTGTCGCTCATGTGCTTCGAAGGTTCCTCAACTCCCATAAATGTCTTTGTGCCGGAGCTAGCAGAATTTGCGCACGGAGGTAATCAATGGATGCAATACCTTCACTGCCATAACCACCTCATGACCAGTCATGGCTGGTTCTTCGCGATCACCAACTCCCAGCTTGCTCCTGTCATCGAACCGGATGACCGCGGTCTTCGTGGTCCGATCATGACCGCGAGTCATCCCTAATCGAGATGTGCCCCAGCAAGTGTCAAGGCTGATGTTGAAGACGTATTGCCCATAAGTGCTCTTTCTGTCCTCCGAGCAAGGGGGGGTCCCACGTGTGCCCCCTGCTAAACCTCGTCAGCTGACATGCAGGCAGGGGCGTGCCTCAGCGTAGCGAGGGACATCTCTTGGCGAAGAGACGAAGGAGATGTGGCCTGACTATAAGCGACCTAGGCAAGTGTCTCGGGGTTCATGAACCTACGGTGATCATCCGAGAAGCATGGCGTTCTGCAGGGAATCACTTTTTGACCGCCCTTTTCGGATGGAAAGTTGCTTGATATGGCTAGATAGCGCCGATGCGCGGACAAATGCACCGCCGCTATACTGTTCCCGAATCTCGATACAGACAACTGTGAAGCAAAGAGCAGCTCAGACGCATACATAAAGCTGTCTGAACAGCAACAGCTCTCTCATCCAACAACTCCCCTCTTTCTACCACGGTCTGCAGCACCAAACAACACCACCTCGACATTCCATCATGCACTTCCTTCACACCCTCCTCCCCTTCATGCCCGTATCTTTCGCCGCCGCTGCTGTCCTCCCCTTCGACCATACCAACCTCGTAGCTAAGGATGTCTTCGGGAGACAGACACTCACTGCCTCGATGGTCGTTGCGAACATCCAGACGGTCACGACCCTGTCGTACAGTCTTAAACTGACGATCAACTCGGCTGCGAGTGTCAACTCCTACACCGAGGTGTTCACTCTCGCTCAGGTGACTCTTCTTCCCATGCGCATACATCTGTCAGTTGAACACATTTACAGAACATCGCGTCTGATTTCGATGGGATATGCACGGCGTTGACCATGGATGTTACGGCTATGAACGGTGTCACCTTCACCGACGCAACATCCTGCCAGACGATCGGCAACGCTTTGACCCAGGTCAGCGCCTTTCTCTTCTCATGACCATCCGCTGAACCGAGGGAAGTAGTTCGTGATGGTGCACCACGACGTGCTCCAGGCACTCATCTTCCAGTCTCCCGTATTCACGAACTGGGGATGCGCCGCCCCGATCCTAGCAGTGTTGGAAACGCTCGAAACAGAAATCGATGTGAGCATCTTCTCCTTCTACCTGACATGAACTCACGGCTCCCGCAAGTCATTCGCGTACGCCGCGATCCAGATGCTTCCCTCCCAGACCCTCGCTATCCAGCAAGGCCAGAATATGCTCGACAACGATTGTAGCAGCGCGAAGACCAAGTTCAGCCTGACCTGCCTCCTTGGCCTATGCTTGCCCGAGGAGACCGCCGATGGAGGTGATGCGGTCTGAGGCACGGGCGTATAGTATGAGATTAGCCTGCTGTGCTGTTTCCCCCATGAACTCTGTTTCTTTCGTCCTATGCTTTGCTGAGCTCAATTGAATCAAATTACAGCGCGTGTCCATCGAGACCGCTGCTGTACATGCGTTTTCCATATACTTGTGTAACGCCAGCTGAAGCCCCGTCGTCAGAAACACGGCTCCGATTCGCCGAAAGTCATGATCGTACCATGGTTGCATTGATGTACATTGTCACGTGTTTCCACATCACTCTATCCCCATATATATCTTACTTCCCCCGCCGCCTTCCTCAGCCTGTTCATCACCGCCAACCCTTCTCTGTCCTCCTCCACCCCTTCTACAAGGATGACATCCACTCCCTCCGCATCGAGCGTTAACAGGCCATCAAACAGCCTATGCGCAGCCTCAGAAGGCTCGTTCCGATTGCCCAGGGAGTACCGGTGCGTGTGGTAGTGCGTCGTTATACATGCCAACGTGATCGGCGAGTTGGAGAAAGCGAGTACGCCAACTCTGAAATCTTCCTGCTGGGGCGACAGCTCATCGAGGATATCGTGTATCGTTTCTGCCTTCTTCCCTTCGGGCGGCGGAGTCCGGAGCAGGAGCACGACAGGAGTGGTGGGCGAATAGTGTCGGTACTTCATCCCCGGCGTCGTGGGCACATGCTCGATCTCCGGATCTTCATAATCCCGTTTGTGGACGAGGACCTTCGTCCCCGGGCCCAGGACTCGCTGGAGCTCCTCGACAGTCAGTCCACCTGGACGGAGGACCTTTATCACTCCTGGTGAAGGTAGCCCGTCCACGACGGTAGACTCGACACCGACGTCGCACGCGCCTCCGTCCAGTATAAGCCGGATCTTGCCCCCAATGGCGGCCAGAGGCGTTCGCTGATGGTGCTGTTAGTGGAGTGTGTGAGAGAGAAATGACTGCCCGGGCGATGGGATGCGAGGGCATCCGGATCGGTACCGTTGGTTGATTCGCTGTGCAGATTCGGGGATCTTGGATGTTGGGAAGAGAATGAGCGGGCCCGGCCACAATGTCCTGATCAGGTTTGGGGGATCTTGAATGAGGCTGGGAGGAGAGAGTACAGCATCGGTAATGATGAGACGTGTACGATCTGCGAGTTGTCAGCTGGCCGGCCTTTAGCGCTGAATATTCCCGCCACGGGCTCGGCATCCAACGCGTTCGCTGCCAATCCATAAATGATTTCTATTGGGACAGCGATGGGAAGTTGCCTGTCGAGCAGATCGTGCATCGCTTCCTGCAGAGGGGCCATACCGGCGTCTCAGTGTATTTAGATTATCTGAAGTCCATCAAGGCGGTGTTTTGGGGATATTCAAGCCGGCTGGAACGAGGTGGGAATTGTGACATACCCACTTGTCCACACCTCTGGGCAGCGAGGTTCGGATGCTGACCGCCAGTTGTACAGGGAAAAGTGCTTGTATGACACATGTTTCTGTGACGCCAGAATCAGGATGTATCCGTAAAAATGGCAGATGCTATGTAGTGCTATATGACATCTATAGGGGTCCTAGCACCTGTCACTTTGTAGCCTTATAGAGTCTGCCAATGGTCAATGGCACTGCCAGGGTCTGCTCATAGCACCCATAGCTTCTGTAGCACTCATAGGGACCCTGTGCTATTGTACCCGTGTGGTTTTTATGGATGAAGGGACATGTAGTACTTACCATATACAGTAACACTATCTCTTAGGGTAATCAGATTATCTGATGGACTCACACATAGTGGGTGGCTGTAGGTGTTAGGGCAACACAGGCTGACTAAGTCTGCTCACCTAAGAGTGCCAAGAGTCTAAGCAGGCAACAAGGAAGTGGAGTAGACCTGATGACTAAGACCTATCTACAGTATAGGTACCTGTGGATGATCCTAAGAGACCAAGTCTGAAGAGACAGTCCCAGGCAGAGTAGGCCTTATATTTATACCTCTGTGGTGGAACCTGCTAGAACATCTTGCTTACTCAGCCTAGTCAGGTGATCAGGTCATATGACCAAGGATGAGGTCATATGAGGTCA